GTTCCATGTAAGTGAAGCTCTGTATCATCACTCAGCTCAGTAATATTGTTGAGTGAATCACTAACGATATGTTTAGCTAAAATAGATTATTGCTCTCACAATCCAATTGTACCCCTAAAAACGTATATGAATATTGATTTTTATATGAATAATATAAAAAACTAATTATTTGTAGCAAAGTTCATATTTTATTTTAGTACGTAAGAATGCTTTATTGTGAATACACAATTTAGCTGACGTATATTTATGTATGTTTGTTTTATAGATATATTAAAAGTGTCTCTTTAAAAATATCTTCATGCTATTTGAATGCATTACTCTGGGAAATAATATAGCTAGGTTGATAAAATAGGCACTGTTTTTCTTTGACATTCCAAGGCATGAGGCTAAGATAGAACATGTCCCCTTTCCTAGATAGCTCAGTAGTTTATAAAATAATAGTACACACACAGAGGATTATTCACTGAGGAAGGTTAGAAATTAAACTTTAATGCCAAACAGTAAAATTGGAAAAAAATTCTCCTAGTCAGCGATTCTTTCAGTTTGGCCCTTTTGACCTAACATTTAAAATTCACTAAGAATTTACTGTGGCTTTCCTAAAATTCTCACTTTAGTAAATAAGCATAGATAATAAAATATGACAATGTTTGGGATAAATCCAAGGCTGTTATTTCAGTGTAATCACACACTGTACTGGACCTATTCTTTAAGGGACACAAAATGCAGGAACTTAGTTCAAATTTTTAATACTTTAAAAATAAATGTCAAAAAAGAACACTCCTATAGTAAAGAGATATTGGCTTGTGCATGCAAATATGATTTACTGGGTGGTTTCAGAACTTCCTCAGATAAAGGTTATATCCAAACATCAGCTAGGAAAATCTGATAACTGCTATAAACAGTACACGTATGTACATGGTATATACAAATATACCCAAGATACACAACACTCATATTTTGGAAGAAGGAACAAACCATGATACTATATGGCTAAGTTGTTATCACTACTAGAGATTGGACTATGATGTGTTAAGTAGCCCTGTTATTAATCGTCATTGCCATATCAAATGACTGTGAACATGACATGAAAGTGAATGGTCAAATTTCTAGAATAAACAGGAAATGGAAATTTAGATCATATAAAATTAAGAAATCCAAATAAATATACTCTAGCCTAGTTTACACTGTAGTGAATATTGATAAACCCTTCAGGGTCTTTTATACTGGTAATACTGACACACAGGTAGGATAAGCATTGTTTGGCAGTTCAGTATATTGCCCTGCGTATTTGTTTAAAACAGTCCCTCCATATGAAGTATAAATAACCATCTGAAATGACATCTGGTGTGTTTCTTTCATGACTCTGAAATAAAGCTTACTAAGGTAGAGTCAGTATATCTAGAGGCTCTTTGCCCATCTTTAGATTAAACCTGTTTGTGAATGCCTAGTGATTAACCCTGTATATACACACTCATTATTATCCTCCTTGGTTCAGCAAGCAATGTACATCTGCAAGAGATATTCTGAACAGTGCTGATTTTTAAGCCTTTTTAACTTTCAATACAGAAATATTTTGCTTCTTATTTTGAAACCTTTGAACTTTAGCTAACTAAACAACATTTGACTTTACAGTAGCAATTAGAAGGTGTCTGATCTTCAAGATGATTAAGTTAAAGCTATATCTTATAAGATATAAGACTTTTTTAATGGTATCTGAATTTCAACCATTGTCTGTGCTTTTTAAATGTAACCCTTTATTCTATAAACAACCTGTGTTGATCCTTTTAACAGGTTTGCATTCTTTTGCAGTTAAATGTTGGACTATCTTGCTTCTGTAAAAGTATTCTGTGATCTTTTCAAAAGAGGTAAATTTGAATGCATGACATTACATTTTTTAATATTGAATATGCTCTTATTGTATTTGATTACCTCCCTTGAAGAAATAATTGCACACACAGGACTGGACATTTTAGATACAGGTCTTAGAAATTATTAGAATCTTTGGATTACAGACTGGAATGGGATTTATTGAGTATTTATCCTTATGTCCAAGATCAATTTGTTACTCTATTCCAGCAGACTTGTAGATCTTTTGCTTAAAACACAATATTTATCACTGCACTAAAAACATTTTTTTTATCCAGAATAATTTGTGATAAGAATTTTGGGGCTTTACAGTGTGATGTCATCTATCTTACAGTCATATGTAAAACGGAAGATCTATTATCCATTTAGATGTTAAAGTTTTTAATAGGAAAAAAATATTTTGATTGTTTTAGTAAGAAGTTGTTAGTGGAACTTACTGGCAAATTAACAAGATTATCAAAGACATATTGTCTGGAGGCTGCCAGGTTCAGGGGAGGCAAGCATGAGAGTAAAGCACTGAGGCAGTGGTAGAACTACCGGGGTCATAGAGGATGCGACTGTGACCACGCTCTGGGGTTTTGTCTGTTAGGTAGACCTGTTGGTGATGGTGGACGCAGGAGGCAGCTTACTTTATTTACAACCCTGTTGTTACCCTGCATGGGTCCAGGGCTGGACTCATCTTCTCCATCATTCCCTGGTAGTTCGATGGTGTATGTGATGCTCTGCACCCTGTAAAGTAATCCTCTATGATATCCTCTCCCTTGGTTCTCCAGCATGCAGGTACTGAGTTGAAATCATCACAGTGGCCCACCAGGGTTATAGGCAGGGCTGCAGGCATGCTTCTTTGTCACTAAATACACCAGTGTCTAGCCATGGGAGCAAGCTGGACTGAGAGAGAGGGTACATGTATGTATGTCAGTGTATGTATCTGTTTATGTGTGTTAGTATTTGTGTGTGTCAGTGTATGTATATTTGCATGTGTCAGTGTCTATGTGTCAGTGTCTGTGTGTATGTGTTAGTGTTTTAGAGTTTTAGTGCCACATATATCTGCATGTGTGTCTGTGTTTGTGGATCTGTTTTTGTGAATCTGTGCATGTATGTCAGTATGTGTCAATGTACCTTTGTATGTATGTCAATCTGTGTGTGTTCTCTGAGTTAATCTGTGTTTACATGTGTGGCAGTGTATGGGTGTTTCTGTGTATTGTAATGTGCCCCATGTGTGCGTGTGGCAGTGCATATGAACTTGTGGATATACATTTGCATGCAATGACAATATTTCACACAGACAGACCCCTTCATTCAAATGCCAACACTGTACACAAAAATTGACCTGCAATCATCAACACTACACATAAAGACACTGCTGCATTTACTTGCCAACAATAGAAACACACATCTTGCATTAAAACACCAACACTAAACACCCCTGCATTTAAATGCCAACAATACACACAAACAGACAGACCCCTGCATTAAAAAAATCAGCATTATGCACAAACATTCACACAAATATACTCCATACAAAAAACATGCCTAGATTCACAACTACTGCATACTAATAGATCCCTGCAACAATGGGTAAATAGTAGATCCAAAACTGGCAACGCATAATCGGATTTGCTCTATACAATTGGACAAAAGCTCCATTTTGTCATCTTTTGTCAACATCAGATTCATGATAAGACAAAGTAGCCCCTACTTTGTCTTATGAGCTCTTTGGATTGCAATGGAATTTCAGTGAAATTATAACACAGTCTTGATCAGTATTTCATAAAGATTGTTTCTCTATGAAATACTGAAAAGTGACAGACTGCTTTAATAAAATAGGTAATACTTAGTATTTTACATTACATGAACATTATTGATATTTTGTAGATCTGTAATGTAACTCTGAAATTATGGGGGGAAATTGCGGATGTTATATAATGACATCACTTCCATTTTTTATGGGAGGTATAACCCATTAGATCTGACATGTGATTGCCCATTAAAGGACCACTATAGGCACCCAAACCACTTTAGCTTAATGAAGTGGTCTGGGTGCCAGGTCCATCTAGGTTTAACCCTTTTTGCTGTAAACATAGCAGTTTCAGAGAAAACAGGTAAGATTTAACCCCTTCCACCCCCTAAAGCCCGGTGAGATGGGGGCCCAGAGGGTGGGGGGGACCTACAGACCCTATAGTGCCAGGGAAATGAGTATGTTTTCCTGGCACTATAGTGGTCCTTAAATTGTTTATTGCTTATATGTGCTTTACTATCAATGTGTCGATGTATGTGGATTCCTATTGCTTGAGGAAGACTCCTAGTAAGTGGAAACATTGCCAACCCCTGTGTCTTAATAAGTATACTTTGTATAATTCAGTTGTGCTTCTGGACATTTGTCATAAAAACAATTATATTAGTCCAATAAAAAGTTATTAAAAGAAAAGAAAATTTAATTATTTAGCATTTACTAGACTAATACAGGAGCTCAAATATCATGATTTAAACTTATAAATATGAGCTCTTCCAAGAAAATATATTGAGGGAGTTTTTTTTTATTTCTAAAATAGAACCTGATGGTATTTACTGTGGTTAAAGTACCACCTTTTATATAGTTACATTTTCTTCTATAGTTTTTTTATCCTGAACACTAAACAAAAAATGCCTGTATTTTACTGCATCTTCTGTTTCATCTACAATGTTCTAAAAAAAAAAAAAAGATGCCTTTAAAATGGTAACAAATCTAATATAATTCTGCATACAAAAAAAAAAACATAGCTATGAAACTCCCAAGAGAGCAAAAACACAAGAAGAGGTGAAGATGAAAAGGTAAACAAAAGTCACAGGTTAAGGAATCTCTAGAGTAATAAGTAAATAAAGGTTACAAATAAAAGAAATGCAAAAACAAAGAAAGGGCAGAGTTTATTCAATCGTTCTAATGTTTCTATATCTAGATCACTAATTAAATTGCTAGAAACAGTTTTATACTATAAAAGCATTTTTAGGTGCTGAGACACTAGAAATTAAAGATGTTGGTTAGGCAGACTAAGTATAAGAGTAGCCCTAATGGCTCTCTCATAGTGATGTCCCGAACGGTTCACCACGGACGGCGAACATATGCGGTAAACTTTGACCCTGTACCTCACAGTCAGCAGACACATTCCAGCCAATCAGCAGCAGACCCTCCCTCCCAGACCCTCCCACCTCCTGGACAGCTACAACTAAGTATGCAGCTTCACAATGAATGTAAAATGGATGCTGTCCAGGAGGTGGGAGGGTCTGGGAGGGAGAGTCTGCTGCTGATTGGCTGGAATGTGTCTGCTAACTGTGAGGTACAGGGTCAAAGTTTACCGCATATGTTCGCCGTCCGCGGCGAACCGTTCGGCGAACCGTTCGGGACATCACTGTTCTCTCATTGTAAAAGCAAAGATAGTTTGCTCATCTTAGAGATCCTTAATAATGTGAAAATCAATAGTATTAATTCTAATGATGTAATTAAAGCAACCCACTCCAATTTCAGAGCCAATTCTGTGTGTCATTCAAGTCAATTCAGAAGTTCTGCTGTTGATACATTACAAGTAAAAGACCTTCTAAAAAGTGCAACACTCATTGTAATCACCAGAGAGGCAGATGAATGTGGATTTCTTATGCATTTGGATAACGATCAATAACTTTATGAAGGTTGTAGTTAATCGATATTGCCTTTTCTACCAAGGTATCTTATGACTCACTAATTTATTTCCAGGATAAAAATTTGAAGACGGGTGTAAACCTAAATACGTAGGCTAATTTGTCACTTTAGATAAACCAGTGTCCTCTGAGTTCTAAAGGTAACACATTAAAACATTTGCAGGAAACTTAAATAAAGTAAATTACAAAAAAATAAAAATAAAGATGAAAATACTCCAAATATTTTTAATAGTATATCTCCAAACTAAAGTATGAGGTTTGGTCATTATTTCTCTCTTCTGTTCTAATCAGATTTAATGGTGTTTTTATGATTTTTAAAGTACTAACCTTTATTGGTTTGCAATGCAAAGATGTACAAGGTTTTTGCTGTATATTAATTCTAATAATCTAAATGTCCTTTTTATAATTGATCAGAAAAATACCACAATTTCTTTTTTGTAGACTTTCAAACACTTTTTCTGTGTACAAAAAAAAAAAAAAACTTTTGTCACCTAGGCCATACAAGGTACGAAATTCTAATTCATTGTTTGAATATTTAAGATTTTCCCTAACAAAAATGTTAATCACACATTTGTAAAATTTTACTGGAAGTATGGAAAAGTTACATAAATAAGCAGACAAGATATCCAAGGAGAGTGTTATCACTATGAAAAAAAAACATTTATAAAAAAAAAATCACTCATATGTAGGAGAGTGATAAATGCCTAATGAAGCAATAACAGCACATTAAGTATTTAAAAATGAATTTTGGTGATCTATGCTTAATATAGATTGAAGACATGCACAGGGAGTAAAAGAAAAGTAAACACATTTAAAAAACTAAAATTCTATCTATTGATCGTTTCTTAACTTAGATCTTAGTCTTTCACAATGTATAACCATTTCAGTGCATTTTTAGTTTTACACAAGCCAAAACTGCTCCAACTTGTAAAAAAAAAAAAAAATCAACTCAATGCAGGCATATATAACTTTAAAAAAGTCGCACCACAGCTGATTAAATGGATAAAATAGTAAGAGTAAACATCTGTTTCTTTTGGCATCATCGGTATATTGTTTCTGTAAAACGCTGTTGCTAAGATATGTAGGAAAACGTGAGTTCTTATCCTCTAAATATATTGATGTTCCCTTCAGTCTAGAACTTTATAACAGCTCTTTCTAACAGGACAGGCCTGTGGGATAAATGTTTGCTTGGTTTGACTCTATGGACCCTGCTCTTAATCTATTCAGTAAAAAGTGACACGTATTACTTCTTAATACATGTCTGTATGGAATACTGATCAATATATTGCTTATTTGAAATATGTTTTCTTGGTATTCTTTGATTTGTTGTCTGTATGTTTTCATTGGTACTGCTCAATAAAAATTAAATTACAAAATAAAAGTAATATTAGAGGACATTTAAATGACATAGAAAGGACAGTTGAAGAGACTGTTCTTGAAAGACTCTTTATTGAGCATAATGGTGCTAACACTGCTTTTTTTTCAAATTTCAAGATACACAGGGATTAGTGTAATCCTCCAGAGAGAAACATCAGTTCAGAACTGCTATTTAAAAACAAGACATGAACGAAGTCTTCATATAGATATTATGTATGCCTTTTTTATACTCTTTGCCTTTCTTAATCAATCCCAAGAAAATAACATGCACTCTTTGTACATTTTTGCACAATTTAACCTTACACAGATATACTGAATAAAACTAATGGCCATACCTTGGCAATTTACCTAATTATTTATTCAGCGCTAACATAGAGTTAGATTTTAAGTTTCGAGAATTGTTATACCGTCATGCAATTTTTTTACATGCCTACATTCACAGCTACTGCATTCACATAGATCCCTGCAACAATGGGTAAATAGTAGATCCAAAACTGGCAACGCATAATCGGATTTGTATGGCAACCGAGGATCCACCTCTGCTCTATACAATTTGACAAAAGCTGATGGCAAAGCTCTCCATTTTGTCATCTTTTGTCATCATCAGGTTCATGATAAGACAAATAAGACTAATTTGTCTTATGAGCTCTTTGGATTGCAATGGAATTTCAGTGAAATTATAACACAGTCTTGATCAGTATTTCATAAAGATTATTTCTGTATGAAATACTGAAAAGTGACAGACTTCTTTAATAAAATAGGTAATACTTAGCATTTTACATTACTTGAACATTATTGATGTTTTGTAGATCTGTAATGTAACTCTAATTACAGTGGGGAAATTGTAGATGTTGGTATATAATGACATCACTTCCATTTTTTATGGTAGGAATCACCCATTAGATCTGACATGTGATTGCCCATTAATTGTTTATTGCTTATATGTGCTTTCCTATAAATGTGTCAATGTATGTGGATGATAAATAAAACGAATGGCCATACCTTGGCAATTTACCTAATTATTTATTCAACGCTACTATAGAGTTAGATTTTAAGTTTCGAGGATTGCGTTACTGTCTTGCAATTTTTTACCTTTTTGATCTGGTTACTCTTAGCAGAGTAAACGTTTACACTGCTTACTGAATAGCAGTTTTACTGTAGACTATATAGCATACTCGTGGAATGCTGTTACAGTGTGATGCCATGTATTTATTTATAGCTATTACTTTTTTCAATAAATGTGCTACTTTTTCATTACCTTTTTTTCATTTGTGGATTGTCTGAATTTTCCCATGTGTGTGGACCGCTGAGGTTTTTTTTTTTTTTTTTGCTAAAGTGAGAATTCAAAGTGAATTTAAAATTTTGACTTGGAAAATTATTTCAATTCTACTATTTTGGTCTAATATTTGTAATTCTCTTTAAATTCACTTTGAATTCTCATTTTAGTGAATAAACATGTTAGTGAGTTATCTGGATTGGTATTCCACAGACCAGACCATTTTTCAATTTTCTTACCGTTAAGGACCAGGGCTATTTTGGCATTTCTGTGGTTTTTGTGATTAGCTGTAATTTTCCTCTTACTCATTTACTGTACCCACACATATTACATACATTTGTTCTCGCTGTTAAATTGTCTTTCTAAAGATACCATTATTTTCATCATATCATATAATTTACTATAACTTTTTTTTATAACTTTGACCCTCAAAATCTGTTCTGCGACTACAACTGCCAAAAAACACCTGTGCTAAATAGTTTCTTGTCCTGAGTTTAGAAATACCCAATGTTAACATATTCTTAACTTTTTTGTGTGTGCAAGTTATAGGGCTATGTACAAGTAGGACATTAAGGTTTCGAAATATATATTTTTAAAAATGTATCAATAGTGACATAGTAACATTGTTATCTGTCATAAATCTCTTAATCACACCTCACATGTACATTTTTTTTTTAAAGTAGACAACCAAGGGTATTTAATATAGAGTATGTCCAGTCTTTTTTAGTAACCACTTAGTCACAAACACTGGCCAAAGTTAGCATTTATATTTGTTTGTGTGTTAAAAATGCAAAAAAAAAACTATTATGAATGCTTACTTTAGCCAGTGTTTGTGACTAAGTGGCTACTAAAAATGACTGAACATACCCCATTTGCATCATGAGGGTAATTCTCATTCCTGGACTGCCATACGCTCTCAAAACCAATCTAGCAAATTTCAATGTGAAAAAACCCCCCAGAAAATCAAGCCTTATATTTGACCCTGTAACTTTCAAAAACACTATAAAACCTGTACATGGTGGGTACTGTTATACTCGGGAGACTTCGCTGACCACAAATATTAGTGTTTCAAAACAGTAAAACATATCACAACACTGATATCATCAGTGAATGTGCATTTGTGTGTGAAAAATGCATAAAAAGTGACTTTCACTGACAATATCATTGTTGTAATATGTTTTGCTGTTTGGAAACACTAATATTTGTGTTCAGCGAAGTCTCTTGAGTAAAACAATGCGCCCCCCCCCCCCTGTGTACAGGTTTTAGGGTGTCATGGAAAGTTACAGGGTTAAATACATTCAATTCTCTGCACTTTTGGTCTGGGTTGTCAGGCAGGTCCTTTAAATTGCAATCAGTACAATTACTTAATTATGTAAAAATATTACATAAATATGCACTTAGAATTGAAATATATATACATATTTATATATTTGAAATCTATGTGTATATTTATGAAACTTTATATATATATCTAAGTGTATTTTAATATAAATATATATATATATATATATATATATATTTTTTTTTTTTTTTAATAGCAAAATACAGTTAGAATAAAATTACAAATACATATATAATTTAATTTTTTTAAAATGTATTTTTAATTAATTATTTTTGATTTTTTTTATAATAATATCTCTCTCTCTATAATATATATATATATATATGTATATATATATATATATATATATATATATATAACATCCAGACAGAAGGCTAGCACTCGAGGACTTCAATGTCAAAAGTAAAAAAACTTTTAATCCAACTTGTCAAATAGTCGACATGTCCTGAGGAAAGTTCACAATTGTGGACTGAAACGTCGACTATTTGACAAGTTGGATTAAAAGTTTTTACTCTTGACATTGAAGTCCTCAGGTGCTAGCTTTCTGTCTGGATGTTATGTTTTTGTGCAGCTGAGCACCAGGCTGATATTGAAAGGAGAGCTGGAGTGCAAAACTCCCAACAAACTGTGTGTATAT